ATTTGAAAGTGGCTGTGATGATGAAAAGCGAAAACAATGAATGGATAGAACAAATTTATTGTTCACTTTTCATTAATACAACAATTTATTAAAATAAATGCTAATTTTTCAATTAATAGGGAAAATGGTATTTAATTAATTTTTGATAAGTATTATTTTGAAGGTGCATGGGTCCCACAAATCGGCATGAGCAAGTAGCATTCCCTCTTCTCCCTGGCCTTTATTGTCCATTTGCTAAACCCACTCGGTTGTATTTTCTTTCTCTCCCTTCTCAATGTTGCCAATGACGCCGTATCATGGTAACGGAGGGCGGCAGAGAGAAGCCAATCTTGGAGTTTATACTTAAAAACCAACCCATCGTATCGTAATTTTTTTAATGCGGTGAAAGTTTCACTTTAATAAGACAAATTCTTAAAATAGAAGTAAGTTAAAGAATTGAATTTGATTTAATATTAACCTGATAAGGCCATTGGTGGCTGGGTTTTGGGTGCCTCACCTTGACCTTGATCCTGTTTGGACTCAGGTAAGGTATGAAAAATTATAGTCATTCTGCTTCTCTTGTGAAATCATAGGGCATGACTAGAATAATTGTGTTGTGGAACCCGTAATGGTTGAGTTGGTGGCACAACCTCTTTATCATGCTGGTTTGGGTGTCCGTCTAGTGAGGGCAGTGGCGGCCATTGTTAGTATTCATGGAGTTGTTGAAGGTTCGATTGAAGTTGAGGTGGCGTATGAAACTACATCGCCCAGGCAGAGCATGGGGGAAAATCATATGGGAGGTGTGGTAGGGATGCAATTTGTTGGTAACGGCCTGAGCAGCAATGATGGGGATGGTCACACAAGAGGGGTGTCAAACGAGCACATGGATATTTTGATGAGCCTCCAGGGAATGACCCAAGGTGCTAGTGAAGCCCAAGTTTAGAAAGATAAGGTTAATAGCCCTGTTAAAGCTAAGGGACAAGAAAGTGGATTGGGCTACGCAAGTGAGAAAAAGCATTTCCAGGTGGGGGAGTCCAATAAAATGGTGGTGGATAAAGGTAAAAGGCCTCTAATGGATATGGGCCCTAGAGTCTTAAGTGAGAAGGCTCAAAGCAATGCTCCTAGCCCAAAAGTAGTATTGCAGAGTCCCAAAATCTTGCTGGCCTCCCCTCTAAGTGATTTAGATGGGAAGGGTCAAGGTGAGAAGGAAAAAAGCTTGATAGTGCGAAGAGGGCTCTTCTGAGATTTGACAAATGGAGGGGATAAGTTTCAGCGAGCAAGTTATACTGTGGAACTTCCCTCAGAGGAAGACAGTGAGGGATCCAAGTCACTAGTGGTTGCTAAGCCAAAGGAGTGTGAAGGCTTACTTATTGAGGAATTGGAACAAGTCTTGTTGAAGAGAAGGATGGGTGAAGATTGGGAGTCTTCAAAGGCTAAGAGGTTTAAACAAGCCCCATTAAAGGATGATTAGAGCTAGTCTAAGGAGCTAGAGGAGACTAAAAAGAAGAATGGGAAGGTGAGGCGTAAGAGCTATAATTAATGTTCCCATTTTAGAAGTTGCTTCTGGATCTAGGTTTGATTTACTTGCATCCATTCCTGAAGATTTCATCTCTTCTGCTGCTGATAGATCTGGTGGTCGTCTGCAAACATCAAGGCGTCATGATGCTCATAGGATAGAATTGCCAGGTGAACACCTAACAAGCAGGAATCTTCGATTCCTATGTAACAAGTATTGACTTGCTTTAGTTTTCTTATCGAAAACTAGAGCACAAGTTAAGAAGGCTGATCGATTTAGGCAAAGACTACGTTTTGAGTATGGGTAATATGTTCCTCCTACAGGGTTGAGTGGTGGTCTTGCATTGTGGTGGAAGGAAGGAGCCAAGATTGAAATTCTGGTAGCTGAAAAAAACTTTATTCATATTCATGTTTTGAGTGGTCTGAATCCTGTTCAAGGCTATATCAGATTAGTCTATGGTCCTCCCAAAGACCAAGATCACAACAGATGGTGGAAGAAGTTATGTAGGTTAAATCCTAGATCTGAGACTCCTTGGTTGTGTTTTGGTGATTTCAATGAATTGATGTTCAACTTTGACAAAAAAGTGGGACGAGTGAGGTCCTTGGCCTCATTTGATGGTTTTCAGAATTTTATGGCTTCTTGCGGTTTGATGGATTTGGGCTTTAAGGGAATGCAGTTCACTTGGACTAACAAAAGGTTAAATGAAGCAAATGTGAAGGAAAGACTAGATCATGCAATCTGCAATGGTGCTTGAAGGGAGTTATGCCCATCTGCCCAGGTTTTTAATCTTGAGCTAGTTGGCTCTGATCACTCCCCACTTTTAATTTGTCCTGTCTACACTGGCATTAGAGGTATTAGAGATTTTAAATTTGAAACGTTTTGGATTGAGCATAAAGATTATAATTCTGTTATGGCTAGTTCTTGGGGAAGGGAGGACTTAGTTGATATTGCTATCATTGATTGTTTTCTTTATGCTCTACACTGAGTTAGAAAGGTTCTTATTAAATGGAGTAAAAATGAATTTCCTAATAATCAAAAGGAGTTGGAAAGGCTCCTAATTGAGTTCCAGAAGTGGTATGAGTCAAATTGGACTGCTGAAAGTGTGAATCAGGTTGATAATATTGCTAACAAAAATTGAGAGTATTTGGGAAAGGGAAGAGATATACAGGTTTCAAAGGGCTAGAGTGAATTGGCTTAAATGCGGAGATACTAATACTAAGTTCTTCCATTCTACTGTGATGCAACATAGGCTCAGAAATAAAGTTGTCTAAAAAAAGATGATAATGAATGGACAGATGATCAAGTAGAAATTGGGGAATGTTTCTCTAATTTGTATAAGAATCTTTTTGCTAGCTCTGGGATGCGTGATCTTTCTAATGTTCTGAGTTATGTTTCGCCTATGGTCTCACCCAAGATAATGACAGGTTGTTGTTACCTATAACTGAGGAGGAGGTCTATGTGGCTGTGTTTGAGCTTGGTAGGTTAAAGGCTCCTAGATCGAATGGTTTTCCTGGGCTCTTCTGGCAACATTCGTGGGATATGATAGGCCTTTATCTTTGCTGTATGGTTAAAAATTTCTTTATAAATGATTTAGATCTAAATCTTTTGAATAAAATAAACCTGGTTTTGGTTCCAAAGATTGATACCCCTAAGTCTGTAAGTCATTTTAGGCCTATTAGCCTATGTAATTTCTGTTATAAAGTGGTTTCTAAGGTCTTAGCCAATAGGATGAAGCATATTTTGCCTAAGATTGTGTTTAAACAGTAGAGGGCTTTTGTTCTTGGGCGTATGATCTAAGATAACATCTTTATAGTTCATGAAGCTTTTCACTTCTTAAAGAGTGGAAAGGGATGCCTATGACTCTCTTATTAAAATCCATATGAATAAAGCTTATGACCATGTGGAATGGGACTTCCTTAAGGCTGTTTTATTGAAACTCAATTTTGATAGCAAATGGGTTACTAAAATTATGAATTGTGTTTCTGCAGTGTCTTTCTCTGTGAAGCTTAAGGGGCATACAGTTGATTCCTTTCTCTCCTAGAGAGGGCTTCGCCAAGGTGACCCTCTTTCTTTGTATCTGTTCATTTTAGTGGCTAATGTCTTGTCCCAAATGGTCATGACTCATGTAGAGAGAGGAGATTTGAAGGGTATCTCAATTACTCGTGATTGTCCTGAGCTTTCTCATTGTTTTTTTTTTACGGATGATTCTATTTTCTTCCTTAATGCAACTGGATCTAATTGCCTCGTGTTAAAGAGTATTGCTTTGCTTCTGGGCAAAAGATAAATCTTGATAAGTCTTGTGTCTTTGTCTCTTTAAAAGCTACTGATGATATAAAAGTGTCTATTTGTGATTCTTTGGGGATCCCAATGGCCGATTCTCCAGGTAGTTACCTTGGTCTCCCTACTTTATAGGGTCGATCAAAGGTAGAAGCTTTGGCATTTGTAAGGGATAGGGTAAGAAAGAGAGTCACTAGTTGGAATAAGTAGTTTCTTTCTCAAGCAAGGAAAGAGACTCTTATAAAAGCAGTGGCCAATGCTGTTCCAACTTATTCAATGGCTTGTTTTCAGTACCCCAAGAAAGCTTATCAAGATTTTGAGAGAATTATCTCAGATTTTTAGTGGGGATCTACAGAGAAGGGTAGGAAGGTCCATTGGAAATCTTGGGAAATTATGACTAGAAGAAAGATGGATGGAGGTTTGGGTTTTAAGGATTTTTAAAAGTTTAATCTAGCATTCTTAGGAAAACAATGCTAGAGGATTTTAACTGAACTTGATGCTTTATGGGTTTGAGTTCTCAAAGGGATTTATTTTCCTTACTGTACTTTTATGGGTGCCAATAAAGGAGGGAGAGCTTCTTGGAGTTGGAGTAGTTTACTAGTAGGTAGGAAATAGTTAGAGCCTAATATCTTTTGGCAAATTGGGAAGGGAGCTAGAGTAGACTTTTAGAGGGATGCTTGGATCCCAAACCTACCTGATTCCCAAATTCCCAATGATTTAGCCCCCATATCCTATAGAAAATAGGACAGTGGAGAGTGTCATAAAAGAAGGGCTTTGGAAGCTCGAAGAAATTTCCCTTCCTAATCATGTTAAGCAAAAGATTGGTTTTATTAGTATTCCAAATTCTAGTGTAAAGGACAAGATAAACTGGTTAGGTAGCTCCAATGGTATCTATTTGGTTAAGTTAGGATATAAGTGGTTGAAGCAAAAGGAGATGCATGCCGCCACATCCGATCCTAGCTCTTCTAGGGCGTTTCCTAAAGAAATTTGGAAGGTCATTTGGGAATTGGGAGTTAAAAGTCCAACCAAAGATGAAACACTTTCTCTGGAAAGTTTGTAATAATGCCTTACCTTCTATGGAAGCACTTTTTAAGAGAAAATGTGCTTCAGCTCCTATTTGCCTAGATGCTGTGAGGGTGTGGAGTCTATTGAGCATTTACTTCTACTATGTGAATGGTCTAAAAGGATTTGGTTTGCTAGTCCTCTTTGCCTATGTTTATCTGATTCAATGGTAGATAATTTTGTTGACTGGTTTGTGTCTATTATTAACTTGCTTCATGAGGATGAGTTTGCTCAAGCTCTTGTGGCTTACTTGCTCTGTATATTTGGAAGTCTCGATGCTATGAATTATATGACTGAAAGGAGCCTAATTTGTCTTGGGTTCTTAGCTCAGCCAGTAAAGCTGTCTTCAATTTTTGGACAGCAAAGGATTGGTTAGAAGCTAAGCAACAAACTTTGGTTTCCCCTTCTTCCACCTATAAGTGGTCTTTACCACCAAAGGGTGTTTTAAAGCTTAATATTGATGGGGCTTTTTCTGCTACTAACCTTTGTGGTGGTGCTGGTTTTATTCTGCAAAATGATACAGGTCAGGTAGTGCATCTTGGTGCAAAGAAGAATGCAGCATCCTCTCCCTTTTGTAGTGAGGCGTTAGCTTTGAGAGAAGCCGTGGATCATATTGTAGATAAAGATTTGGATCCTATTTGCGTGGAATTTGATTGCAAGGCGCTGGTGGATGCAGTACAAAAGAAAGCAACTTGTCCTGACTGGCATGTAGGAATTTTGGTTAAGGAACTTACAGCTGTTTTTGAGAGATGTCAAGAGCTATCTTTGGTCTACATCTCTTGTTCTGGTAATATGGCAGCAGATTGGCTTGCCAAGGAAGCTTTAAAGGGATTGTTTAGTGGTGGATGGGCCTCTTTCCCCCCAACCCTTCTTTTTAAGATTTTGCACTCTGATGTTCTTGGTAGTTCATAGGATAGATCAGGTGCTGATTAACTGATGTAAGTACCTTTATTGTTGATAAGTGAATGAATTTCTGCTTTTGACCAAAAAAAAAAATTGAATTTGATTCTATAACATCAATCCACTTTATCTCTTGTATTCATCATTTTAAAACTGTTTTTCTTAATTTTATAAACCTATAAATTGATATATAATCAAGTGATACTGATATTTTTGAAAAAAATCATGCCACATATATTATCATAAAATAATTTATTTAATTTTATAATTTATTTAAATTAGTTAACTAATTATTATATTAAAGACAGGGTGATGTATGATTTTACATAAAGATATCTTTAACTACAATCAATTAAATTTAAATTGGGTTCCAATGTTATGTCCGAGTAATCGGATAAGTGAATTGGACCCCAACGATGGAATAGCCCAAGGGTAGATTGAGTTTCTTCTCATTTGGGCCGACAAGTCGAGTTAAATGAACGCAACGCCCTAAAAGCCATTACTTTGTCTTTAACTCTTTTTGGGGGGTCAAAAAAAAGGGCTATTACTTTACCAGAGACTGGAGAGTCATAACATTGACGTGTTACCAAACAATCAAACATGCAATGAGCATGATAAAAACTCACCTAAAATTTAACTTTTAAATTTGAAACCTTTCAGGATAATATTGAGTTCAAAACAATTTGCAAACACATCGCTGTTGAATGAAAACTATAATTTAGGATATGCATTTATATCTTAATGCGGGGGGAAAAAAAAGTGAATGACATGTGATCATGTCAACTTAGTATATTTAGTCAACTACACTCAAACTTAACTTATATAATGTGAGGACAACATTGCTATGACATGAACATCTTTGGACAAATTTTGCATTTTAACCCTTTACTAATTTGAGTAAATTAAAAAAGTTAAATAAATTAATTGATTATGACAAGTGTGATTTGATCTCTCTAACATAATCATGTGTAACATCAAGTAATATATCAGTTTATAAATTATGTAAATTAATTTTTTTTAAAATGATAAATATAAGAGATGAAATAGATCTAGTTCTTATACTATCTTCGGTTCCTAATATAAGAAATAGTTAATTAATTTGAGTAGATTATGAAAATTAGTTAAGTTAGTTATTTGTAATAAATAGATATTGTCTTCTTTAAAATACCCTTGCTAATCAAAGTGTTATTTGATGAAATATTTAATATGTGCAATTACTATAAGGACTACGTATCTTAAAAAAATAAATAAATAAAAGAGATAAAGTAAATTAATACCTATATTTAGAATCAAATTGAAAGTTAAATAACTCTTATATTAAGAACTGGAGGTAGTGTTTAAAATCAACTTCAATCCCTGAGTAGTACGGATTAAGGAGTGGAGGAGGAAGGAGTACTAACCATTGTGTGGCTATAAAAAACATAGAAACCTGGGATGACGTTGCGTCACACAAGTGATGAACGTGGAAAAACAATAATGAAAGATTTGACATAATAATAATAGTAGTTTGATAGAAAGGGACGTGCTTATCATCTTTGTGTAGATGGTTTTTGTCGTTACAAGGCAATCGAATAGAATAGAAAGACGACAGACAATAGGGAGCTTGCAAGTGGACATCCTCTTGAATTGATGCATATCATCCCACAGACATCGCTTTCACTCTTTATCTCACAATGGCCAACTCTTTTCAGCTGCCTTTTATTGACCTTCGTTTCCTGTTTCCTGTCTCTCTCCAATTTTCTTCTTTCCTTAACTCCGAATCTTACCACTTTTCATTTATTTTGCCTTTATCCATCACTTTAATGTAACTTGGCCCATTAAGTGTTTTTCAAGTAAGAGCAATGTCGGTACTGAAGGATTTCTCATTTGCTGGGTTGTTGAGATAATGATTCAATGGTTGGTTTAACTTGGAGGAGATTGATTATAACTAAAATAATATAATACTACCTCTGGTACTAATTATAAGACTTTCTTTACCGTCTTTAAACAAGATCTTATAATTAGGACCGGAAGTAGTACACTTAAAAAATAATATTCAAATAAAATATATTACTACCTCCGGTCCTTAATATAAGACCTTCTTTGACTTTTATTTTGGTTCTAAATATAAGACCCCAATCCACTTTGTCTCCATATTTATGAATTTTTTTTCAAGACAGTCCTTCTAATAATGATGGTTCTAGCCAATACACTTGATTAACAAGAATATTTTAGGAAAGACAACGCTTATTTATTATAAATAGTAACTTTTTTTCTTAATTTACTTAAATTAGTTAACTAGTTCTTATATTTAGGACCGGAGGTAGTAATTCACAAGTGAATAAAATATATGTGAGAGTAAAGTCACATATTATATTGTTAAACAAAACCGAATTACTAAAATACAAATATGAAAGACTACTAATTTTTTAAACTCAAAACAACGTGGCTTCAAGATCAATTAAGAGGGAGGAAAAAAATATAAAATCTATCTAGATGAATTCATCCAAAACTTATAATCGACTCGTTAAGGAATTGGTTCAGCGATTCACCAATATGACCTGGGTTGAGTTTTAAAACTATGAGCAAGAGTAGGAGTATTATTCTGGATATAATATCTGGTATTTTGTAGTACTAGTAGATTAAATTTGAATATTGTGATTCTTAAATATGGGTAATCCTTCTAAAGACATTTCCCCCCCAGTATTTTAACCATATCAAAGACAGGAATTAATCTCCCCCGTCTAAATTGAGTTAATTCATTAGGCTTTTAAATAAAACATGTCTAATCATATTACCCGAGAGATAATTCATACTTAACTACCAATCAACACACCATGTGGTGGGTAATTAGAGGAGTTTGTTGAATCTAAAGTTTGAGTAATTTCAGTGCATCTTCTCAAGCTGGCTTTATCAATATATCTGCTATCGATTTCTAAATCAAAATTTAACAAGTGCTTTGGTAAATAATTTGGTAAATTATATATATGTCTTTTTATTCATCCCTTATTTAAATGATTTGATAATAATAACAATACAATATATATTACTATACTATTTAATTTTGCAACAAAGTAAGAGGAAAAAGCAGGGAATTGAAAAGGAAGTTTCAAGAAAGAAGCTACTCACTTTCTTGGAATCTTCCTAACATATATAAAGTCTACACTGTCAATCTTTCATAATATATCCTTGTGTTACAAGTTTCTTTTTTATCCCTATAATCATGTGATTTTTTCATAAAAGCTATTAATATAAATTCTAACATTATTAGGCTTAAATCTAAATAGTTCTCTCCACGAAATTTAAACTCATCTCATTATCATACTAAATTGACCCAAACAAAATTATATGTGCATTATTCTTTTCTTTCATGTAACTTTTCTCTATTTACCACTATTAAGTTATTTAAATTTGAGCATTATTAAGTCTAAATATAGGTAATTCATGGCATCAAGTTATTGACTCTAAGTCATGGCAATAGAATTTAATATATTGGGTAGGTAGAGATAACAAATTGATAATAGTTTAGACTATTGGGATCTCGATCTGGATCTTTCTTCGAAGCTGCAATTTAACTAATTTATCCTTGTTTGTGGGTATCATTCTCATTAATCACTACCGGTAAAGAGACTTCCAACAATTAAAAAAAAAAAACAAGTCAATAAGAAATACATAAACAATTATGATAATATTTTGACATAGAGTGTGTACATAAAATATTACGTTATTACCATTTGAGTTTGCTAATTTCATATATATAGCATATGACGTTGATTCTAACATTTGATGTGCCAGTTATAATCAAATTTTAACTTGTTGAAGTTCTGAGACAGGGACTTTAAATCAAAATTTGTTTATATATTACTCCTCCGGTCCTTAATATAAAACATATTTAACCGATTTGATTAGATTAAAGAAGTTAAGTAAGTTAGTTAATTATAAGAAATATGACATGTTTTTTTTAAAACACCATAATCATCTTCTTTAATATCCTCTCTTCCTTTTCTACTTGATTATGGTTGAGAGAGATCGATAGGGGTAATTTAGAAAAATTTAATAAATATGAGAAATATGTATTATATTTAGGATCAAAATCAATTTAATAATTAAGTCTATATTAAGGAGCGGAGGAGTATTAAAAACATTTCAAATAGCAGAGGCGACTGATCAAACAAGGGAAATCAAAATTGAAAAGGATGATCGCTGATAAAAGAAACAAAAAAGTCTCGAAAAGAGGCGGAAAGTCGAGAGTCTACACATTAATAAAAAGCTAATGACCCTAAAAAAGAAAAAATATATATACTAATTATTAAAAAAAAAAGCAACTTTCAACCACTTTGAGCTGATGCTTGTGCGGAAAAGATTGGCTCCAATTGCAACCTTTACTATGAAGCCAAACTAATACGCTCAAAATACAAAAAGTCATACAAGAAAAATAACTTCAAAAAATTGAAAAAAAAAAACTTCTTTATTAAAAGGGTTAATCATTTCTAAAAATTAATAATAGCTGAGTTGCTTAACCCTATTATTAACACCTAACGTGTCTTTTTTCCTGATTAATTACTTCCTCTTTCTTTTGGTTTTACTTGAAAAAAGTCATGAAACAAAACAAAGAGGCAATAATATCTCACGCTCACTTTCCCTAAATTCAAGTCATTGTTTTCAAGATGAAAAATATTTTCTAATTACTAATGGATAAGCGAATCAAAGTTTAAATTTTTACTGAAAGACACGTCTGCATTTAGTGTTTGATAGTGTATACAATATAATTATTTTAAATAAGAAGACACTTGTACCTGATTATTTTTAGATAGAAAAAATTAATTTAATTTATAATTAATTGCATTGTTTTTTATTTAGTAAATACTATTAATTCCCACAGTCAGTTTGGTGTCAGACTCATAGTGGCATTTGTTTTTAGTTGAGCATTAAATGTTCTGTATGGTACAATAGGACAACCTTATGATTAATTAGTCAATGCAATTATGACATTAATATTCCCACTGTGACACGGTAGTTAGATCATCACCGGG